TTTTCTGGTGGTTTATTGGAGATAGGAGTCTCACAGTCTTTCCTGCCCGGGCTGGCTTTGAACCGTGATTCTCAGATCTCAGCCTCCTGAGTAGCTAGGATTACAGGCGTGAGCCACCAGCGCCCGGCTGTCAAAACATTTTTAATATGAACTAAATAGGGGACAAATATGTATGCATACATGTGTTTATAATAAAGAGAATCCAACCATTTTTTAAAGCTTACTTTTTTCCTCAGTGCCCATATCACAACTGTCTAATCTACTGCACGCAGCCTGAATCTCCTCTTTAACAAAGACAGACCCTCAAAGGCTCTCACCAACACTGCTGTGGAAGAGCTCTATTCAATTTTGAATTTTCCACTCAACTATTTTATATCCCAAAACCTCCCAAAACTAAATGAGTACATCTAAGGTTTTAAACTTATAAGCAATCATCCGAAGAAAATTATCTTAGGAAAATAAAAAAGGATAAGTACAAAGATATTATTGCAGGGTTAGTCATCATGGAAAAATCAAAAACAACTGAAATAAAAATAGAAGGGATGGGGAAGTAAGTAAATAAGGCATTCAATGCAGTCACACTACTGCATACTATGATCCAATTACACAATTCATGTCTGTACACCAATACATACAAAACAATTTAAACAGATAAACCAGAGCCCAGAAGGAAATCTAGATTTAAAAAAAAAATCACACTGATGTTTACTCCTTTTTTTCCAATTCAAGAGTTGTTTATATAATACTTAAAGGGAAGATTTTGTTTAATAACAGCACAATGAGATACCCTGTTGTTGACTCCAGAAAGAGACAGGCAAGAAATTAATAGCCAAGAGTCAATTTAATATAAAAAGGTTTATAACTTAGAAGTTCAAAATGTGCACAAAGCACTCACTATCTTGCCCATGTAATTGTAACCCCTTTGTATGGTATTTCCACAATAATAAAAAAATGTGCACAAAGATCTTTTTCTCCTAATACAATCGGCTTGCTTATAATATTATTATCGTCATTTTTCCCTTGAAGTTCTACTTAGTTATGACTTCCTAGCTCAGATCTACTCTAGCATAGAATTGCTTTCTTCCTCCTTGTTAATATTTTCTACTGAAGCATTTTTAAGTATATGTACAACACCTAAAAAGTTACCCAAAAAAGCATTAAGATACCATCGTCATCTTAGACCTCTTGGTCAATTCAGCCCAAAGGAGGCCACAGTCATAACAAAGGCAGATATTATAGAATCAACTACAGCCACATGCTCAGTAAAGACATAAGAACCAACCAACCTCTTTCTCCAACCAGTTAAAGAGTTCACAGAGGGCAACAGCATCTTTAATCTGTGTGGGAAAACAGAGACCTTTTTTAAATTATTACTGAGAGTAGGAAGAGTCAGACTCAGAGCCCGGCCCTGCAGTAACCCTGGTAGGCTGGCACCTACAAAAGCCACAGACCATCAGCAATCAGGGCTTGTAGACATTTCCTGGAAACTACTTTGTCAGAGAAAGGGCTCCCCTGCTATTCAGTAGTTGAAGCACAGGTAGAAAGGGCCCATCTTCACAGCATGGGCAGCTTCCCCAAAGGACTGGACTCCTGCATCACGGGAGTGAGGAAGGGCAGGCTTTTATTAAAAGCCGGCTGTCTCCTGACCCCAGATCTTTCTAGACCCCTCTTCTGCCTTAAAACATAATCTATCCTTTTTATTATTATTATTATCACAGCCTCCCCATGCTCTGCTACACTATCACCAACAGGCTTTCTGTGTTGCATGTTATGCTTTGTAAAGCTCTAACTCATTAAGTTCTGCTTTTCTTGTTCTTTGTGGTCTCACTATGAAGCCCAGTCTAGCTTTACATTTATGGTCCTCCTGCCTCCTCCTCATCCTCCTGAGTGCTTGGGATTGTAGGTGTGACACACCATAACTCAGTTCCCCATCAAGCATTTCATTTTACTTTCTCCCTGACTCTGTAAGACCAAGAGGATCAATGCTCAAGAGAGAGTCCAACCTCATGCTGGGGCCAGGGCCACACAGCAGGTGAGTGAGCTAGACCTTCTAACCACCTTCCACCCCATTGTCAGCACCAGCTGCTCTACTCACATGAGCCCGCCTCATGCCTTCTGCCTCGGCTGCATTCTTCACGGCTTTGGCAATGCAGATGGGGGTGTAAGGCATACAACAGCGATGATCCTAGGGGCACGGGAAGGTGAATGGAAAACAGAGCCTACTCAGCACCCATCCTAGACCATGGCAGAAAAGTGCACTTGAGACACATCATTTGAAGAGCTCCCACTCGGACCTCAGAGCTGAAGACCTTCCCCTTTCAGCGGATGCCCCTGAGCATGATAAAAGGGGATTGAGCTCATCCAAAAGGCAAGTACATCAAACAAGGTGGCCTCCTCCAGACCCCACCCTCTCAGCACTCTGAGAATTCTGGATGCCTGCCATCAGCAAGAGATGCCTTCCAAGCCCAGTAGCTGTGCTTGGAGTTCATTAACCTCCAGGAGCCAGAGTGAAATCTCCCTTCTTGCTGTACAAAGGAGCTTTTTTCTTCTGTCTAGAGATGCGGATGACCTGACAAGGAAGGTGTCCAGTGATCACCATCATCTACTGCTAAGAGTATGTTCTTAAAAAAAAATGGGGGCACCCCTGTTTGAAACTAAGACTCGTGTGTGCCATCAAGTTACCTTTGGAAGACAGGGGCCTCAGTAAGCTCTAGGGCTCACCCAGAGAGATGACAGCTTAATTCTACAGTCTCTCTTCCAAAAACAGAGTCAAGATTAGGAAGGGGCAGGCAGGGATGAGGCAGGTTAAAGTGAGACCACGAACCTTGGGGATGGCCTCGCTCACAGCATAACTGGCCTTGTCGCTGACCCACACCTTCTCCCTCGGAGACAGGTCAGCACACAGGGTCTTGAGCTGACTCAGGATGGACTTGTAAGGAAGCACTTGGATTTTGTATTCAGCCTCCAGACCCAAGTCAAGAAGCAAGTGCTCCTTCACACCAGGGGCATCGATGCGGTCCCCATCAATGAAGAGCCTGTGGGGGACAGAGGTGGTAACAGGAAAAGGAGAGCATGTGGGGCAATGAGCTGTGACACACACAGATTGGGCTCTATTGTCTAACCACCAAAAAAACTAGGTAACCTTTCCTTCCTCCCCACTCCCCTTCTGACTCCTGCCTCCCCAAAGTGTGTTACTTGTCCCTGGATATGTTGTCATCAGTCACCAATTCAAGCCAGAAACCTAGACAGTTTCTTCCCATGCCCTCCTTTTCCTTCTCCAAAGAGATCTTGGAACCTATCACCCAAGTCTGCCTAGCTATTGTTTTACCCAGTCACCACCAAGATTTGGTGGTGGGCCAATCCCACCTCTCAGCCTCCATGAACTGCCCCAGACATCCTATTCTTCACATTTGTAACATTGCTCAGAATTGCTAAACTTGATCACATGTGGTTCCCTCTGCTTTTCATTTTCATTTGGTTTGTCTTGGTGCTACTGGTGTTTGAACTCAGAGCCTCATGCTTGCTAGGCAGGCATTCTGCCAAATCCTTAGCCCTTCATTCAGTAGCTCCTCATTGTCCTCAGGACAGAAGCCCAAGTTCTGTTGCTTGGCCCCCACCAGGCTTTCCTTTCTGGGGTTCCGCGCTCACCTTCTGGTTTCATACTTTACACATGGACCACGCCAAACCACCCTTCAGGTTCTCCACATACTGCTCTCTCCTGCTCAGAGCGTCTAAAAATGCTGTTCTCTCTGCTTGAGTCTTTGCCCCACCTCTCCTCTAGCTAACCCATATTTATCCTTAACCTTTGCTTCACTGTACATCTCCTCTGCCCCCAAGTCCAAGCTAGCACCTTCCCGTGGCATCTCTATACACCTCTGATGGGCTAGTACCTACAATGAGCCTCAATCTCCCCAACTCTACTCCAGGACCACTCATCCTCGCACATAAACAGAAGTCCCTAGCACTCAATGAATGTGCTATCTGAAAAAAGAAAGCCACACAATAGAAGAACAATGAAAGGAAGGATATTAAAAAAAAAACTCTAAAATGATAAACAGAAAATTCAACAAAGCACAAGTCAGGGAGCTTTCCCTCTATCATTTCTGGCTTTCAAAATGACTGGCTCATTTGCTTTGCCCAGAGCTGCATAACTGAGGCTCTGTATGTCCCTTCATATGACTGATAGAAAACCCGGAATCCAAAGTATGCCCGGAACAAGACAATGGAACAGGAAGTTTGTGACCTAACTTCACGCCAGCTTTGCCCCATCATCCTTTCCTATTTATCTCTACATCTCATAGTACTATAAACACTTTCATATATTCTAAAGCACTTAGAGAGTTAAAGGAGAGGCAGGCTATAAATCAACATCTAGTACTAATAAAAGACAAGAAGGGAAAGGAGGAAGGGTAGGAACAAGGAAGCACACCAACAGCAGTGACTGGTGGGGGTGGGGAAGGGGGGAACCACAAAGAAGAGCTTGGGGCTTGAGCTTTGGAGGAGGTTCAGGTGGGAAGAAAGCACTCACATGATTGTCTCTAGTCCTATGATGGCATAGGAGAAAAATACTGGGTTGTGCTCCACATCTGATCCTCGGAGATTGAACAACCCTAAAAAAGAAAGCAAAGCCACTGTCACCTTAATGACTCAAGCTTTCCAAGTATAAGAAATAGCCTGTAGGAGAGAGCAGGCTTCAGCTTGGAATCCAGCTGCTGCATCAACGGACTCAATGGCTGGGCATCTGACTCAGAAAGGCCAGGAATCTTGTTCCAGCTTGTACCTCTGAGCTGCAACTGCTGGTGCCTACCACCTGATGGCACCAGAACTGTTTATATGCCACTGTATCATTGCCCCCAAGAGGACAGGAGAGTTCCTGGTTAAGAAATACATCCCCAGAGTGTTAAAAATGGCCCACATCATCAAGGTGACTTGCCAGGGAATCCTAGCCAAACACAAACCTCTTATATCCAGAAATGGAGGGAGGAGAGGAAGATAAGTACTTTCTCCCTTCTGGGGCAAAATGACCCAGGGTAGACAAACTGAGACCCACCCACAAGAGAGGCCAAATAAGGATCCTCCTGAGTTCCATGGAAGCTGAGTTTAGAAAAGAAGTGAGTCAAGAGGCTGCAGCTCTTGAATGAAACCAGAGCCTTTGGCCCACCCACGGTCTACTCTGTTACCAGGCTTCATGAAGGACCCACCTTTATCAGGGTCCAGGGTTCGGCGAGGTCACAGAACATTAGAGGAGATTGCAGGACCAGAGCAGAGCAGAGCAGCCCAGTGCAGCTCTGTCCCAGTGCGTCTAGCTCACAAGTGTGTTTTGTTTTTTTTTCTCAAAAATGGCAGGGGGCAAAAAGGCCCTATCACCAAAGATACTACCTCTATTTTTACATAATGGCTTCCTTAACAAAGCAGAGAGACAACATTTTTAACCTCTCTTATCAGTCCTTTCTTTTAAAAAAAAGTTATCACCAGGGTTCGAGAGGTATGATGGAATAGGTTAAAAGCCCTAGCATATACACATCCTAATCCATAAAATGATCCCTAAAAGCCAACCAGAAATAGGAACAAGATTATCAGAAACTAAGACATGGATTTATGAAGCAAGATTATGCTGCTGGCATATTAACAAGCTGTGGGAAAACTAGAAATAACCCAAAAATCCACAGAGAAATGATTAATTATAACCATTTGCTAGGATATCTAATACTTACAGATATGCTTACATATATAGATACACACTGAAATATTTTTTCAAATCAGGCCAAAAAGGTGACAGATGCACAGAAATATTAGCATGTCCATCTCTGGCAACAGGACTATGGGTGAGTTTTTTCTTCATTCTACTTCCTTTGCATTTTTTCATGTTTTCCACAATGAGAATGTGTTTCTGTTATTCTCAAGGAGAGAATCTCACTTGCATGGTTTTTCTGATATTGGGACTTTCTAAGTTAACTATGGGTATAAATGACAATATAGTTGACAAATTTTCAAGGACTGAAAAGGTAAGAAGGGAACTGAAGGGACAGGACACTGTGAGATAGGGTCTCATTCTCTAGTGAGAAAAGACAAAAACTACTTTTCAGTTGCCCTGAGTCAAATCCAGCCAGAAAATGACATAGAAGTTTCAACCAGATTCCTTCAGATTTTAAAGATGATATCAAGTTCTAATAAGTTACACAGGGGAACCTTAAAGTCTAAAGACTAAGGCACTGTTATGACCTCAGGAAAAATTCTGCAAAAGAATTTTCAGTTCCTGAGTTTTCTATGGTAGAAATGTTTCTAGAACTTATTCACTATTGGAGACTTTGGAAAACTACACAAAAAGTGTACAGAAAAAACTATCTCCTATGATCCTATACCTTTTGAAAGGCTGACATATAGGAAACTGCTTGAAGAAAATGCCTTCCTCAAAGCAAATTCTCCACAAAATCTTAAAAGACAGGCTGGACGTGGATATCACCATGGATTCATCATGAACTCCTGGCTGTAACACCACCCTGGGCAAGGGTAAGTCTCCCCTCCAACTCCATGTAATTTGCTTCTTTATCCTAACTGGCATCTCCCATTACCTTTCAGAGGCAATCTTTTGCTTATTCCCTGGCTACTCAGAAAGCTGAATGTTATAAACCACACAAAGGAGAGATCAGGTAACACAACCAGTAAATCCACGGCACTCACATGCAATCTCATCCAGGGCAGTGACTACAAACCACACAATGTTCCTCTCCGCCATTTTCAACCGGAGGTCTGCCACCTTCTCCTTCCAGGAGATACCTGCAAGACACAAACATACTAGTTTTGTGACTCCAGCTCTGGTCCCAGGCTGCTTCCATATATTCTTCCCCAGCTTACCATCTTACAGGGCACATGTTGCCTGCACAGGCAGGTGGCCACTTGACTATGGTGAGCTCTAACTGCCTCACCAGGACAATTCATTCATTTATTCATCTTAGTCTTGCCAGGCATAGACATCTGCCAGGGGTTAGGCCAGTCCATACAGTTATAACTCTGGACTAGACCCAGTCCCTGCCCTCATGGGGGATTACCATGTACAAGAGAAGACAGATGACTAAGCAGGTATTAATTACATGGTTGTATAAAAACTGATGCAATCAGGGAAGCACAGAGGGCTACGTGAACACACACCGAGCAGAGAAAGCTCCCCGCAGGTCAGGAGAATATCACTTTACATTCCTTAGGCCCCAGACTTGCTTTCCTAAGACCTAGGAATTCTTGGAAGCCTGAATCACTGTGAATACTACTTCCTAATCACACCTGCCCTCTCAGACACAGCCAAGGCTGACCTGCTGCTCCCTGAGATGACACTTCAGCCCCAGAAGAACTCATTCTACTGCACCTGACACCAGGACAGCTTATGGCCACTTGTGAATAGGCTAGGCATCCTTACACACCCAGCACCCAGAACATTCTCCCTGCACAGAGCAAGAATGCAACCATTGACAGAACAAAGTTCACCAGCAATATTTGCTTTCCCCTTTCCTATAGCATCAGGTGAGAGCCTCTGCTTCAGTCAGAAACAACTGGAACCATGCTGATGGAAAACATTTAGCTGGCCCTGGGTACTCACTGGCCCCTTTCCCCCATCCCACAGACAGCACCCTCCGGGAGGCTGTCACACAGGAAAGCAGGCTGGGGCTGCCCCCACAACTTTGAAGCTTTGAAGATCACTCGGGAATGCCATTTAAAACTTGGCCCAGAATCTAGGCTATAATGCTTTCTTCGCAGAACCCCTCTGGGCAATCTGCCTACATTCCAGACATCCCCCATCCACCTCTCCATTTCTATAACAAGGCTCCCTTCCCTGAAACCCCACCTCCCTCCCTCTGTCCTTCACTGTTTTCATAAACCCACACTTTTGTCTCTCACAAATGCTGACAGCACACACTGCCACACACCACTGTCATACAGAACCAAGGCAGCACCCACACTCACACCTCTACAGAAGTCGAAGATAAAGGGTAGGGCCTGAAAGGTAAATCTACAAATGCTATCACAGGAAAGGAAATGGAGCCTAGAAATTTTAGGCTCTCCACTTCCATTTTCATGATGAGACACAGAAGGGGCAGTCAGTAGCTGAGGGGTAAAAAGCTCAGTCCACTCAGCAGCACCCAAAAGCCACCCAGAAGAGCTTTACAAAAATAAGCTAAGCCAAAGTAAGCGGCAAGTCCGTGACAACAGTAGAGAACAATAAAGGCCCCTCTGTCGGTCAAATCTCCTCTGGGTCAAGGTCGGGCAGAGAGCCCTGTCAACTCAGATTCAACTCTACTTCAGAGGATCAGGATGGGGAGAGTACATGAGGCGAGCCGGAACCCTGTGGCACAGCCATAGTTCCCACCTGTGTAGTCCAGGCCCAGCGTGAGGAGGGGCCTGCAGGGCCGCTCAGGACGGTCCATCCAGATTTTGTCAACAAGGTTCTCCTTCACAGGAACCAGGTGGTGGCCAGCACTTCGCAGCACTTTGGCCATCTTCTTCCAGTAATCTGAGGAGATACACACACACACACACACACACACACACATATGGGGCCAGCCGGCCATTAACTCCTGTGTCATCTGAAGCAGAGGGTAGGACCTTTCTGACCCCTTCTGAAGGGCACCTCTCCCACAAGCTCTCCTTGCCCTCCATAATGACAGCAAGTCATGCTAAGCCTTAACAGCTCCACTTCCCACAGTTAAACAGGGGGGATGAAGAGAAGTCTAGAAACCACTTCCTCACCCATGCCGCAGAGATCACACTCACTCACCTGTAGGGATGATCAGTGGGTCTACACCCACCCTGGATCCTTCAGGAAGCACACTCACCAGCCAGTCTTCCTGAGTTGGTGTATCCTTCAGACCTAGGAGACAAGAGCCAATAAACAACTCCCAGAACAATGCAATCCATTGGCTCCTTGACAGCAAGATCTTTATTAAGGACCTTCTTCAAGGTAGATTAGCAGGCCTTAGAAAATCTGAGCTTCTCTTCTTCCTGAAGGATGAAGTAGGAAATGGTATGCAAGGAAAGCCTGAGGTAGGCAGAAGCAGAAAAAAAAATTGTCTTTGGGCTCCTGGTAAAAACATCTCAGCTGGGTGTTGCAGAGAAGGCGGCGGTAGCTAAGGCTTGTGGTGCAGCCTCACCACAGAGGAACAGGGCTGGCGTTAGTGTGCCTGATTATTCTCGATCCCCAGAACCTAGTGGTCTTACTCCTTCAGGTGGAACACTGCATGACATGGGAAAGAAAAGCAAGAGGACAGCTGATAGATGAGGAGGAGTGTGTTATGGAAAAAGTGTTAAGACAGGTGTGTGGGTAAAGGGCAGGTGGAGTATCTGCTGAAGTGGAAAGGCTTTTCTGAGGAGCACAACACTTGGGAACCTGAGAAAAACTTGGATTGTCCTGAACTAATTTCTGCATTTATGGAAGAGTCTAAGAAGATGAAGGAGGATGAAAATAATAAACGCAGGGAGAAGTCATGCATATCCTGAGGACGTGGAAAACAAAGAGAAAGAATCTGCAAAGAGCTAAAGGAAGGGGAAGCCTCTGTCATTTCTCTTTGTACATTACATATTCCCCTCCTTGCCTCCTCTCTCTTCTGCCCATCCCCTTCTTTCCTAAACACATCCACCAAAGAAAAAAAACATGTGCTTTTCACCGTGCTCCAAAAAAAAAAAAAAAAATCTCAGCTGTGCAGGGTACACGGTGTCGTTTCAAAAATCTCTCGGCCACTTCCCCACCACTGGTAACCTGATGAGAAGATAAATGGTAATTTGGTGAAGACTAGGAGCTTCCCTCATGTACCAAGCAGGAAAATAGACAGCATGTCACCAAGTGCCTCCCCTCACCTGCAAGGCCAGGGTTGGAGGGAGTAAGCCTATGCCCACTGCAAGGCTGAGCACAGGTCTTGGCCAAAAAGAAATCTTTCCAAAGGTTGTAGCAGGGGTACATACGAGTCTTTCACATGGTCCCCTGGGCTTCCTAACTGCAGAGAGAAGACCACTCATTCTTCCTTCTAGTTGCAAGACACTAAACAGGCTTCGAAAAGGAACACTATTTTTATAGTCCAGTTTTTCTTTGATCAAGCTAATAGTCTATCTAGCCAATATCTTTGGGATGTACATTTTTTTTTAACCAGACTTTTGCTAGACTGGTAAAATGTAGATTAAGAGTAAAAGCTTACATACTCTAAAACAGTGCTTACTTACCTTTACTATTCTCTCTAGTGACTACCACAAAGCCACAGAAGGGAAGTTCAAAGGTTTATAATAAAATGAGTTCATGATTCCCGGTTCTACAAAACTGCCTGCAAGTCTGTTTTGCTATCTGATTTTTTTTCCCCTATGTCTTTTTCAAACTACTTAAGCAAAAAACTTAATTAAAAAAATTTTTTTCTTGGGGTCTCTGGAATAACTTCTGCAGGATGAAGTCATGCTGTTTCTTAGTAGACAGCTCTTTGGAAAAAACCCAAGGGTAGGACACTCACCGGCCAGAGAAACCCACCTAGAATTCTCACTTAAGGATAGTAGGGTGAGGGGCTGGGAAGTTGGCTCAGTGGTAGAGTGCTTGCCTTGCATACATGAGGCCCTGGGTTCAATTTCTCAGCACCACATAAGCAGAAAAAGCTGGAAGTGGCGCTGTGGCTCAAGTGGTAGGGCACTAGCCTTGAGCTGAAGAGCCCAGCGTTCAGCCCCACAATCAACAAAAAACAAAAAGGAAGGTAGGGTGAGAAACACACAGCCAACCAGAGAGGAGCTTGGAAGAAAGAACCAACCCCCATCCAGTCCCCACCCCAGAACAACCAGATTCCAATTTTAACAAATAGACAGGTCATATCTGCCACTCTCCCTCAACAGTGCTAACAGACCTACCTCACAGCCTCAATCTATGGAATCTGAAAAGGCCTCAGTTTTCTCTGAACAAAAGGCATATTCTGAACCAGGAATCTCCAAAACTGAATGAAATGTGTGATGGGACACATACAGTGCCCATGGTCAATGATGTCATAAAAAGGTTAACAGCCTAGAGGAGCTCCAGAGTCCCTGGCCAGATCAATACAACAAAGCTGGGGGCTGGCTGTCTTCTACCCACCCATCTTCATAAGTGTCCAGTTGCTATCCATTTGTTTGGCAGCCTGGAGAAAGTAGCGCCCATCCGTCCACATGGCTGCGTGCTCTTCTGTAATGATGGCCGTTCCTAGAGCACAGGAGAAAAGCAGAGAAAGGTTTCTGACCACTTCCCAGCAACCTCCTAAAAACAGCAATAGTCAGACTAGAGGTAGCAGCTCCCAGCATGGAAGATGGTTGACGCCAGGGAACCCCCAGGTAAGAGAAAGATGTCACTAAGAACCAACTGTGTGTCAAGCTCAGAAGAAGAAAGCAGTCGAGAGGCCCAGGCTGCCTGAATGCTGGTCTCTACACAGAAAAGACACGTAAGCAGTGGGAGTCAAGGCCAGGAGAACAAAGGATTGTAGGCCTATGGCCAAAGTGGTCTCATAACCAAAAGAGAGGAAATGGTTTGTCCTTGGTACCTATAGCCACATGTATGTACTGTGCTCTGCCCCTCTCCAACGGAAGTGTTCCAGCTTTCCTTGATTCTGTGACTTCTCGGTCACCAGCTGGAGTCTATGCCTCCCACCTCTACCTGCCCTCAGTTCCCACAGGCCTGGCAATCTCAGGGCTTTCCACAGAGGTGTCTGCCAAAACCAACCCAAATGTGCCAACCAACATAAGCATTTATGCCAAAGGAAGCAGTGTGCGAACCACAGGGGAAAGAGGCTCCCACCTCATCCAGCTTGTTTCAGAGACAGGAACTCGAAGGGGAAACCACTGGAAAACTCAAGGGATGTTAGCAACTGTGGAAAAGTTAGGGCAGGATACTAGTGGAGCTCAAGGCTAGCCTTTGTTATTTAAATTTAAGAGTGAAAACAGAAAAACTAAAAGTCAAGCACTTGGAGAATTATTTAACACCAGTAAGCTAAGGCTTTATGGTGCTATTAAAGTCCCATTCCTTGTTTGGAGTGCTATCTACACAGGCCTACTCAGCTTAACTGATTTTCTGTTGTAAGTCATACTTGATAAAAAGGTCAAAACTTCTGTCTTCAAATTAAAGTTTTTTGGAAAATGAAGGTCTGGAGAAGAACCAAGGGTCACTAAAAGGTGACGGGAGAATTTGAGAAAGCCTGCGAACCCACACCTCCCTGCAGAGGTGCAGTTGGGAGTACTGTACCTGGCTTGCAATTTCTTTTGGTTCCATAACATAGGCTGAAAGACACTTGGTTATTTTAGGAAGGCACACATACAGCAAGAACGCAGAATTCAGTGACTCACCCGCAGATCCATCGAATCCAGAAACAAAGGCCCGCCGACAGTCACAGGGAGCAATGTACTCACTCTGAAAAACAAAGATCACAAGGAAATTAGACCTCTGTCAATCACACTTTGACTTTTCCACTAGCCAAGCCTATGCTAGACTCAGCGGGGACTATAGTTGGGACTATAGTTGGGATTTGTTTACGTCTTTCTTTTGGGAGCCAAGATGTTAGCTAAAAAGGCTGAACATTAAAAAGTCAATAAAAATTAGTCAGTCGTGGTGGGGTTTGCCTATCATCCCTGCACTGAGGAGGATAGTGGCAGGAAGATTTTGAGTTCAGAGCCAGTCCAGGCTACATGGTGAGTTTCGGGCCATCCTGGGATACATATGACCCTGTCTTGAATAACAAACATACATACATACACTGCAAAAGACTTAAGTTTCAAAGAGGTATCTCCTCTAGCCCTATTTCCTCATCTAGAGAACAAAGCAAGAGAAACAGATAAAAACTGCTCTCTCCTCAATAAGCTCTTAGTCAAAAACAAGCCAATAGCCTTCTCCTTCCCTTGCCTCTGACATTTAGGCATCTGTTATTTTTCTGAAAAGGAGAGTTGTATTTCTGTTTGAAGTGCCAAAAATTCTCTAACTTCAGTCTCTTTCAGAGATATTGGCTAGTTGCTGAACTTCCTGTTTGTGTCCCCCTCCAAGGTGGAGTCACAGCCTCTCCCACACAGGCCCAGCCCCTTCCTATCAGGGAACCAGGGGGAAACACTTCCCAGGCCAGGGGGCTTCAGCAAAGAAAGGGGTGACATAAAGATGCACTGCATTTGTGAATTGGTTGAATGGTAACACCTTCGAATACAATTTTAAAAAAAGAGAGAGAGAAGAAGCTAGGCGCTGGTTGCTCACGCCTGTAATCCTAGCTACTCAGGAGCTGAGATCTGAGGATGGCCGTTCAAAGCCAGCCCAGGCAGGAGAGTCCATGAGACAATAAACCACTCAGAAAACCAGAAGTGGCGCTGTGGCTCAAGTGGTAGAGTGCTAGCCTTGTGAGGGACAGAGCTCACGCCCAGAGTTCAAGCCCCACAACTGACACCAAAAAAAAAAAAAAAAAAGGAAGGAAGGAAGGAAGGAAGAAAGAAAGAAAGAAAGAAGGAAAGAAAGAAAACACATCCAACACCAGGTCCTATTCAGTGAGATTCTCCTTGCTTCTGAGTGGAAGGGTTAGGTAGTGAAGAAACTGAGGAGCTCTTCTACCCAGGTATAGCATGAGGCCATGCTATACAGCTTCTAGTAACGGCCCAGAGAAGCACAGAGAGTTTAACTAACCTAAAGCAAACAGCAAAAGCAGGCTTTGAACCCAGGAAGTTAGGTCCAGAACCTTAACTCTTAAGACCCAGGCCACGCTGCCCCAGCATGACACAGAGTCCCTTCTCCCCTCGACAATAGTAAGAAACTTGAAATTTGAACAAGCATTAGGTAACTCGCCCACTGACAGGCTGTAGTGCCAGGATTTGAGGCCATCTCTGCCTGCGTCTGAGCTCTTCTCCCCTTTCACTGTCAGCCAGTTTTGCCCAGGTCAAAAGACCCAGAAAACTGAAGAGTGTTAGTCTGACCATGGTGGTAGACACCTGTAATCCCAGTACTCAGCAGGCTGAGGTGGGAGGAACGAGAGTCTGAAACCAGCCAGGGGTACACATCTCTAAAAAAGTTAAAAAATAAAAAAAAAGGATGCTTAACATGGGAAACAGAGCTTCTGGCTGGAGGCCAGGGTATTTCAGGGGCAGTCTGTGCACAAAGGGGGAAAGGTCCCTGTGTTCCAGTCGCGCTGTGTGCTGTGTGCATGCTGGTTCTTTCAGCAAGGCAGCTGCAATCCCCCTCACCTGCCAGGGAGCTGTGAGGGCCCCCTCCCCTCCAGGTCTTGCCAGAGGCAAAGCCCGTACCCCTCTCAGCCTCAGTTCCTCATTTCCAAGGTGACTCATCTTCTCCTTGGTCCCCAAAACAAAGAATGTGTAACAGAGGGCTCCAAGGAAACAAGGAAACAGCAATCCGCATTGTTTATGGACTGCAGAATATTTGGTTATTAACCCAGTAATCACAGTGTGCAACTTAAAAAAAACAAAAGGCTCAATGGGAAGCAGGGTGTCTCATCCACTTCTAGGACTAATGGGAGCAACAGTAAGTTAATGTTTGAAGACCTCACCAGAAACCTGAAAGTGGTACTTGTACATAATGGAAGAGAGATTACTCATCTCTCCTTCCTGAACAGTAAGAATGCATCCTGGGGCCTGGGACAACCAAATTAACAAAAATAACTCTTCAGGTGCTCCTTGAAGAACACACAATGAGGACAACAGGGATCCCTGACCTTGTGCCCCTACCCAGGACCTGATGAGGAAGCCATGCTGGCAACCAGGGAAGGCAGCACTGATCTGTGGGTCTCCAGCTCAGGGACAAAGCTCTCCAGGAGGCCCACTCCCGTTTCCCAGGATGACCTGGAAGGGGGGACAGGCAACCCACAGGTTTCCTAGATTCCTCATCAGAAGGCAAGGGAAGAATTTGTCCAAAGGGAGGTGGAATTAACAGAATGTGTAGTTTAAGCCCCAGACAAGGTCTGGGGCAAGAACCAGACATGACCTAAGTGGTCAACATGCCAGACAGACATCGCTGAGCGTGGCTGGCGGCAGCCTCAGCGCCACACCAATGGACTAACCAGAGGCCAGACAAGCTGTGGGGCCTTTCCTAGCAATGAAGTTAGAACACATTCTTCCCAGCACTGCGAAGTCCTAAAATAAGCATGCTCCCATTTTTCTCTAGCTCTAGTAACAGCACTCAATCCAAACCTCCATTATCCTACCTAGACCACTGCCCCATCTACTCTTCCCATACGTTGGAGGTATTCCAAAAATACACACACACACATACACACACACACTTATATAGATGGTAGTAAAACAATAGCATTAGTTATGATTTTAATAGGGGATGTCCCCACCAGCTCATGTACCCAACAACCTGGTGCCCAGCTGCCCAATGGTGACCAGGTATTATTTAGAGAAATTCTAGAAACTAAAAAGTGGGGCCTGAGGTACACTGAGGGTGTACTTCCAAAGATTCTACTGGTCACCAGCTTCTTCGCCCTCTTGGCTTTCCATCTCTGTCTCTTTTCTCTCTTTCCCTCTCTGTCTCTTTCTGTCTCTGTGTATCTCTCTGCACATGTCTGTCTCTCCCTCTCACTCCATCCCCTCCTTTTCATCATTATATCTCAGATCAAATGATACCTCCACAGAACACTGCTTTCAAGCCTAGATAATATAAACACTTGTCCGTTTTGAAACTCTGTGTAGAACATTTTATAGATTTTCCTCTTAGTGAACATTTCTCCCTTTCATAGCCCCATCCCTCTACCCCTCCTCCAGAATATAAGTCAGGGTGGTTGTCACACAGTGACAGTGGTAAGCAGCAGATCCTCAGCCAGCTTCTGCAGAATAAATGTTCAAGCAGAAGAGATGAACCCTTTTTCCTTCTGCTCTGTTAACATCTTGGCCATCTCTATGAAGATGGAAAGAATACAGGTCACCCCTTAGGGGCTGGAAAAGGCAAGGAAATGGATCCTTCCCAGAGCCTGAGAAGCCACAGAGTCTTGCTGAGCTATGATAGGCCTCAAACCTCTAAAACAGGACAGGAACGATTCTGTGTTGTCTGAAGCACCATACCTACAGTCATTTGTCACCAGTAACATGAAACTAGCAATATGAAAAAAAATGAAAGGATAACAATCTGGATTTCAGTCTCAAATGCCTCAGCACACAGCAGAAAGCCAAATGAGGCAGAACAGGAATACTCGCTCTAACCAGAGAGCGGCTCGTACCTCAGCTGACACCTGCCATGCCGGAGCAGCCCCCATGTTGCCAGGCTTTGGTATTTCAAGAGAAGCCAGAAATACCTGTGTCTGAGAAATTACCCATTACTTCAGGGTTGGCATCTAATCCAAACATAAATGAAGCATAACCAGATAAAGCATATTATAAACTTTAAAAAAAAAAACCTTAGTCGTTCCTCAAAATCTGGCTCAAATACACCTCATCCTCACATCTTTCTGAGCCACTCCAGCTCTCAGAGGTCTCTCTCCTCTGAATTTTACCAGGTTTTGGGTGATGGTAACAAGCAACAGTGGCTAATTGGCTCAACGTGCACTATCTGAAATGAGTAATTCATTAATATCCTCCTATTCTAATCCCACAGCAGATGTGAAAGGAGTCAACCTCCCCAATTATAGATGCAAAATTAAAATTGATTCTTGTGGCAGAGGCAAGATTTGAACTCAAGCCCAACTCTTCAAAGCTGACATCCTTGCTATGCTGCCAAGCAAACTCTTCTAATTCAGAGCAGAGACTGAGTACATTGAATCTGTACAACTGGATTATACAATCTAAGGGAATAGGAATATAAAGTATGTCTCACATTCACCTCTGGCCCTCATCAACCACACAAGTAACAACCACAACCAGAAGTCATTCCTACAGTCGTCTGGCTCCCAGATTACTAGGTAGGTAATAAGGATACCACACTGGAGGACTAAGATGTGACGTGAAGCAATAATCATCTACTCAGCTGTGATGGACACATGCATTTATTACTATGCATCAGGCAATGAACTAGACTCTGAGGAAACCTAACTATCTTCTCAAAGTAGACAATCTGGCCATCAAAACAGCACAGTTATCCCATGAAACATTAGCACTAAACTATGCCAGTTATATAGGACCAAATTTGGTATAGATTCAAGGATGCTCAGATCTGCCTTAAGTCCATCAGGATAATCTCAGAGGTTTGAGCTGGACTACCATGGACAGGTAAGGAAGAGCAAGGAAGGAAAAGATGGAAGAAAGTCAGAGGGAAGAGATCTAGGGTAGGCAGGCAGAGAACTAGACAGTTCTTGAGAGGTAGTACAGATCAGAAAGAGTGGTAATGTGATCAGAGCTATATTTTTTAAAAAGTGGTCAACATGGCCACCAGAAGATGGAAGAAGAGAAAAGGAGGATGGCCAGTGCTAAGTCGGACTAGTTATTAGATCCATG